CAAGCTCACTGCTCATGTTGCTATCTTTAGTTTTGAGGGTTAAACAGTATTGAGGTGCTTAGCTCCTCTTGTTTCAGGCCTTCCATAGATTCAGTAAAACACTGCTGTATTGGTTTGTACTGTACGTTAAAGCTTTTGCATCCTTGAGCACTAGACATACCTGTATAGGCAATGGCTTACCAAACCAATTGCATGAGACCTTGAGCATTGATTGAGCACTAACTGGTAATAAAACTGAGGGGCCTGGCAAATGTTCACTCTAGAAACCTTATTTTAAAAATGCCTGGGCAAACAACCTCTCAAATCTGTTAAAATGAAAATGAGATCAAGGCACACCCTTTGCCATTTGAGATCTGAGCGCTGGACTTCATTGCTCAGATATTTGGAATTTGTCTATATTCCTACATTCATGTCCCGTTTGCATCAGCAGAGATACCTACTCTGGTCAAATTTATCCAAGAAGTCACTTCATCCTTTGTAATTATCATAGTGTGTGTATGATAAATTTAATATAGCCAGAAGACTATAGCTAGTATTTTTCGCATGCAAGTGAATGTATCATTAAAATGCTCCAACTTTCTCCTGGCTACCTGTTCGGGGAGGGGCGGGGGAGAGGTTGTTTTTGTTTTGTTTTGTTTTGTTTTGTTCTTCTCATTCTCAGACTTATCTTTGGTTTGCCACCCTGATTCCTACCATGGACTTCTAGGAGTTGCTCTCCTTTTGTCTCACTATCTGGAATCTGGCAATTTTTTTTCAAATTAAACTAATTCCTCCATCTTCTCTTCCTAAAACCTGTATCTGATAATCCAGTCCTGATTTTTCTCCCATATGGCCTGTGGTCCTGAAACATGGCCTGTGTAGAAGCATAATTTTAATGAAGTTAAGGGTTTTGCTCTAATCTTTGGCCTTTCTGAAGTATCCATCTCGTCAAAAAAAATGACAGCTTCTACAGCAGTTGTCTGCATGATGCTGTAAATTTACTAATTTATGACCAAAGATAGACTTGAAAGCATGCTTACTCTGCATGCTATAGCATCCTTGTAAATGTGAGTTGGCAGTAGACATTGATAACTTTTCTGCTAAACAGGAAACTGTAAAGTGATCTACATGTCTTTTCTGGATCACTCTATAGTCTCCTGCACAGCAACCACTTGCTGGCATCAGCATTGTTGGATCTCCGATTAAAATTTTCTAGTGGAGTCTCAACCGTAAAGTGTTACTTCCTGCATGTCCAGAAATTAAAACAAAGCCCTTCTAAACCATTAGAAAGCCCTGATAAAACGCAACTAAAAACGTAAAAATTCTTGCTGCTAATTTAAGATCAGAATCTAACATAATTTAGTTTTTTAGTATCAGGAGGGTTTCTGTGGGAGAAGACACCTAAATTGTTACAGTTCTTCATTTTGTAATCCCCAAACATTGAAATATATCTTTTGCTGCCACTAATCTGTGAAAAACATTCTTTGGATATGACTAGAATTTGTCTCCAAGGATGTATTCCTGGTTTGTTTGGTTTTTTTTAATCTTAAAAAAAAAAAAAAAAAAAAGGGCTGGGAGGAGGTAGGAGTATACATGAGAAAAAGATTTTACTGTTTGACTTTTCAAAGGTTAGATGTTCTCTTTCAATGTACTAGTGATATTAATTGTCGTCTTGCCCCAAACTATAAGATTTTTGCAACCTAACAAGCTAACAGTTGAGAACTTGGTAAAGGGTTCATTACAGTTTTAATGTGAGCTTTAATGCTAAGGAAGGGAAACCATTATAGCTAAATTCAGAAAGGTTCATAGTGAGATTTTTTTTTTTCTTCCCCCCTTAAGCTCTTTGCTTTGTATGTCAGACAAACTGTTACAGCCTGTAATTTCAGATCTTGCCACTGCCTTCAGCAGTGAAAAGTGAAGTCAGATTGTTAGATGGTTAGTCATGCAGATAAAACACCTGAGAACTAGGTTAAAACCACCAAATTAATTGCTGTCCTCTTAAGTTTAGGTCTAGAAATTGGAAAATATTACTTTTTTTTTTTTTTTTAACCTCACTATTCCACTTTCCAAGCTTTCTGTTGTTGATCAAAAGCTTAACTTTTCTGTTTCTTTGGGTCGCATCCGTTTACTAGATGTAGAGCTGGCCCATGGATTCTTAAACTTCACACCTTTTCTCCACAGGAACAAAACAAGCTGAGTAGATATGGGGAGGGTGTTCTCCATTTGAGCTACTTGAATGCATCCATGACTAGAATCCCCAAGTTCCTTGGTGCACTGTTGTATTCCTTACCTTCAAGAACTGGGTTTTCCATCCCAGGAAAATGGTTGCTGAAATGTAAATTTTAAGCCAAGTTTGAATATCATCTGCTGATCTTGAGTGTGCTTTATTTGTGGTTTCCAAATGATACGAAGTAGCATTATAAAAATGTATCTCATGTTTTTACCACTGTGTAGCTGGCATTAGAAATGAATATTGGTCAATGGTCACTAGTGGCATGGAAGGACTGTAGCTATTTTTAATGAGGCAAGGGCTTTTTTTGGTGATTATCCTTGGCCAGCTGTATAGTTGGGAGAGATATGAGACGAGCATTCAAACACAGAGTGCCCTTTCAGTTCAGATATGTGAATTAAAGTATTTTTTTTCTTTTTGAAAGTATTTACAAAGTGTAAAAATAATTTCAGGAGTATTTTTCAGTAGTCTGTCCCTCATTTTATTATTTAGCATTCATATACAACTTGCAGACAGATTCTTCTTTAGTTTGCTCTCTGCTGTGTCTCCAAGGCTAGGGACAGACATTTGAAAAACCAGAGCCTGAATTGATTCAATCCTTGCAGGTTAGGCTAACCTGAAGAGATTGAACCAATTTGCAAGTAAATAGACATTCACTTTTGATTTGGGAAATGCGGGCACATGCCTGCAGTGGCTCAGGCTGTAAGCTGTGGGGTGCTAGAGCAGCCCTCCCTTCCCTTCCTCAATGCTGAGCTGAGGGGGGACTTGGCCAGGCCCTAGCAGGACACTATGACTAGGGAGCAGTTTAAACCCCCACCCTGACTGCACAGTCCCCAGCTGGGGTGTGCCTGGAAGGGGAAGTAGCTCTCTCCAGGCTTTTTCCTTTCTGGTCACTGCTCAAGAGGCGGGGAGTGTTGCCAGCTCCCAGCTAGTACTCTGAGGCAGAGGGCTGGGAGGTGGGGGAGAAGGACTGCTTGTAGGGAGTGGATGCATCTGTTGATGATACCAAGCTTTTCAGTTTCCCTGTGCCTGCTTCTTCATACCGTCTGCAGCAAACTGACCGGCACTGTATTCATTGCAAACCAGGTCATTTCTCACACCTCTGTGTCCCCAGCTGAACACTGACAGCAGGCCATCAGGGAGCTTATTAGAACACAAAGCTTATCAGCCCATCAAGAAAACAAAGCCCCTCATTAGTTCCAGCTCTTCTTAAATAACTTTTTGCAAAGCATTTTTAAGGAAGAACAGAGGGACATTACCAGCTGGCCTGTTGATTAGCTCCAAAAAGCATTAAGCAAACACTGTTCTGTCTGTGTATGTTCAGTGAAATTGGACAACATGCACACATGTGCTGAGAGAACCCTGCTTGAGCAGCAAGGAGAAGGGGAACAGGGGGAAGCCAGGCAGATGGTGCTATGCCTGCAGTCTCCACCTCCTCAGGCAGCTGGAGCTCCAGCTAGGGAGGAGAGGGACAGGGCCAGCCCTGGTCTGCTCTGGAGCAGACAACCCAGCTAGCCTAGGACTGAAAAGCATGCTGGGATGCTGGGGGATTTTGTTTTAATTTAAACCAGGAAGGGGTCTGGGACAGAAGTTCCGTAAACCAGTTTGACCTAAATCAATTAAGTCTGATACTACATTCA